TTTTTTTAACCAAGCTAAGGCACTACCAGAAATTTCAAGGATGATGATTCTGGCCACTGGAGAATGAAAACAGCATTGGCAATAATTATTTTTAATCATATCTGTTGACATAGAAACAATTTTTTTCTAGGAAAAAAGAGAGCCAATTCTGTGTTACATCCTTGTTAGAACATTGTGCAATTAAAATAAACAAGTCTGCCTCATCTTTAATAGAAATTCTCTCGAAAAGAGTTTAGTGACCACTACAGTCAATTTTAAAAACAAATTAGCTGAATTCCCTCTTACTTTGAAGTGTTATTTCAAGTCTGTGGGGGCAGCAATAGGCAAAGCAGTGTACTTATAAGAATTAAGACTCCACAATTTTAACACTGGTGCCCTGAAAGATGCATCTGAATTCCACACAGGGTGAGAATTAGGTTAAAAAAAGGTGTGTATATGTGTGCGTGTCTGTATGTATACAGGTACATACACAGACACGCACACATATATGGTGCCATTCCCCATTTCCAAAATGCTTTATTTAATAAATCCTGGTACTCCCTTTTTTTTTTATTAGCAGTGAAAAACAGCCTACTAAGGCCAACGTCTCAGTTCATTAAGTTGATGACTTCTTAAGCAAATTTTAGATAGAATAAAGTAGTGCTTCCACACTTGCTATTTGTGATTTCTATTTAAAAATAGGTTTCTATTTATTTGTGCTGTCACCAAATTTTTTTCCTTTTATATGGTGATTAAAGCAATATTGAACACTAATCATTCAACTAAAGATCTAGGTAAGCAATCTGTTTCATAGAAACTAAAGGAAGCAGTGGTGAAGCAGAGCGAAAGCCTACTTTCAGAGCAAATATTCTCCTAACCAAAAGCTTAGGAGCAGTTTGAAAAATTTAAAAATGTATTTCCTTATTAACATATATAATTTTAATGCCTTTGGAACACACTTTTTAATAAAATGTAATTTTTCATAATAAAATTTAAATACATAAGTATAAAAACTACTGCTCCTAGGATTAAAAAAAATAGGAGCATGATTAAAATATAAGGGGCCAAAGCTCCTTCAGAGAGCAACTCTGATTCTATGAAGTGCGATATGTGTGTGTGTGTGTGTAATATATATAGTGAAACCCCCATTTACATTATTACAATTTACATTTTTCCACAAATTATACTACTCCCAAATATTTTAAATAATGCATTATAATCAGTAATCTGCACTCATTTTTAGAAATTCTTGGTAAACATTGCAATCTGCAGTGATAACTAGCCCTACAAAAGGGAAAGAAGCTTCCATATAGGGCTAATGAGTGCTCAGAATATTTTTTTTTTAAAGAGATATATACTCTTCTATAAACCTCCCACCCTCACCCTTACCCCAACAGATAGAGTCCCAAAATAAGGTGTTAACAAGTGCTTAATAGATATGTTTCTTAGGTTGATGTCCCAACTGATGCTTAGAAAAAAGAGTAGTTAGACCTTAGAGAAGATTATGGTGGTTGTCTAACGTGAGGAAAGCCTATAATAACTGTTTTATTCAGTGAATACAATATTCTCAATTGTTATTTTCACATTAACCAAGATAGTGCTTATTTTACTTTACTTTGTTCCCCTCTACAAACTGAACTTATTTGCAACACTCCTCCCCTTTCCCAGAGATGCATAAAAGTGGGGTTTTACTGTATATATTTTTAGTCACTTAAACCTTTGTGGTAATTCCTCAAATAGTTTTCTAATGCATTTAACTTGAAATTCTCCATCTAAAAATCAGAAGAAAAAATGGATTCACACTGAATAAGACAGATACCATGGGGGTAGGACTGTTTTTGTTTTCTGCTTTTGGTTCTTAAAGGAAAGAAAAATGTGTCAAATTCAGCAAGAAGTGATATAAGCAACATGCTTTTACTTTACTCCTAAAGAGTCTAGTTTTCAACCCTGACAACAGGGGACATGAACCTCACCCAAGTTCCCAAGTGTAAACCGTGTGTTTCACATCTACCTTCCTGCTTAGGAGTCTACTACACCATAGATGCTGAGACAGTCCACTGTGGGATAAACATACCTAATGCTTGTAGTGCTACAATGGCTCTAGATTCTGGACTAACCATGGACCAACAATCAAAATAAAATTGCTGGCTGTACTTGACCCACCCTTTGGCTGTGAAAGGTGGAAAGATTAAAGAGATCTGTCTATAGATTGACTCTGAAGACTCTGATACCATAAGCTATTAATATATTAAATGGAAAAATAGCAAGATGGTTGAAAAGTGGCAAACATCTTGTATACTAATTTAGGACCAACTATTAGGTAACATGAAATGCCATGTCACCTTACTAGGAATTCTTTTTGCTATAAATACTGGTGCTTTGTGTTTAGGGTTTGTTTCCTTATATGCTCATAATAAAGACAGCAAATATTTCAGCCAGACAATAGCAAGTCTTCAAAATATACTGATCTGAAGTTATGGTATAGCTAAGAAACTTAACTGTTATCTCCCCAAACTGGATTCTTAATTCATTTAAAACATTTGATTATGAATCCATTTAGAGGCTAGTAAAAATTTTAAAAGTCTTGAGTTATTCACATACATTTTATAAAATTTACATTCTGTTGCATAATTTTTTAATGAGCCAAATGTCAAAAGGTAGAGCCATTGTTATTGGACAAAAATGAAAATTTTAAGATCTAAAAGTAATTTGAACATGGGATTTATAAAACTTTCCTAATAATAATGGCTTTCCTATGTGAAAAAACCTCTTAAAATATGACAATTGGCAGTGAATCAGGACAAAATACCCAGGTAAACATAACTGAACACAAATGGTTCCAAAGCTCATTAAAAAAGCTAGTTTCTATTTCATACTGGCTTAATGAAAACTGGTATTATACAAAAGCAGAAAGTTTTATACTGCCTTAAAGTAGGCACTAAAATAAAAACGGTCATCTAGGGCAGGGCTACGCATACATTTCTGTAATAAATCCACATCCCAGAATCCTACTGAAAAGCTTGATGGAAACGTGGGAGGGTGGTGCTTGTGCTTAAACTGCTGGTGAAAGCTGCTGACAGCGAGTGCAGAGACCCAAGCCCTATAGTGTTTGCAGGATCCTGAAGATCCTGTGTTTGTGGGGGGAGCTGGGAAACAGAAGAATGTGCTTCCTCTTGGGAATAGCTCATTCCAAGGCTCCCCACTGATATAGGATTATAGGGAGGACCATTTAATGGTATGAAATTAAACAACTGAGAAAAATCCAATGCTGGTGTGTTTAGGGGGTCACTGATAGAGATAGAGCTTTTGGACAGGGAGAGATCCCCTGCACCATCGTCTAGGGACCCAATCTGAGGATCCAAGCCTAGCTTAGATGACGAAGCTTGAGAATCCTGGGATGAAGAGGGCACGCCACCTTGTAACTCCATCAAGTAACTCTCAATTTCCCCCTTTAATGGCTGTTCTTTTTCAGGAATAGAAATTGCATATGAGGTAGAACTGAATGGATATTTGAAAGAAAGGTGGTGAGAGGGATGAACAGCATCCATATCTATTGGGCATGTCATTCCCAAAGGTAAAGTTGTGATCATTTGGTGGGAAGATCCCGAGCTCTGCATGGACTGAAATGGAGTGTTATAGAGGTTTAACTGCAAAGTGTTTGTGAATGGCTTTGATAACAGTTCACTGGAAGGTAAGGACATCACCGGAAGGAGCTCGTCTTTTATAGGCACAGACACATTGCAGGTAAATGGATCCAGGAAATCCACTGGTTCTGTTTTGACCTTCAGAAGCTCTTGATTGTGACTCTTCTTCATATGTCGAGTCAGGTGATCCTTTCGTCCAAATCTCTGTGCACAATACTGACAGAGGAAGTCCTTTCTTCCAGTGTGCACCACCATGTGTCTCCGGACATCCTTTCGGGTGTAGAACCGGCGATCACAATGTTCGCACTGGTGCTTTTTTTCTTTAACCCCACCGGATGACTTGCCTGCATGAGATTTAAGGTGCTCCAGAAGCACTCCTGTGCTTTCGAAAGTCTGCAAACATACCTTGCAGGTGAGGTCACCGCTTGTTGCGGCATGCAAGGCCAAGTGACGTTTAAACCCAAGCTTGGTATTATAGTTTTTGCCACATTCTTCGCACTTAAACGTCTCTTTGTTAGGGTCGTGTGTATGGAGGTGATTCTTCAGATGATCTTTCCGGTGAAACATTTTCTCACAATAATTACACTTGTGGGTTTTCTCAGGAGAATGAGTAGCCATGTGCCTTTAAACACAGATATATTCTGTAAGTAATTATCACAACAAAAATGGCATGTATTCACTTTTCAAATGGAAGCTAAAACTATTATGCTAACATAGAATTCCCTTAATAATGGAAACTGCTTAACTTAATATATACCAAAAGGATAGTTAATACACCTAAATACTGCAAAACTTGAGCCATTTAAGTTGCCACTTTAGTTTTTGCTGGTTTTTAGCTATCATTACACAAGCAAATGAGCAAGACTGAATATACTCACGTAAACGTCCATACCCTTTTCTTGTCGTAATTTCTTTCTACAAATGGAAATCTACTCTCATTAAGCATTTTATTTTAAAAAATCCAAAGACACTAACACATAAAAGTATGTGATTCAGAATACTAAAAACTAGCCAATGTCTAATCTACTTAACATTTCTTCTCTGCAAATCAGCTGAAAAATGTGTATACAAATACATATGTTTACAATGGCTTCAAATAGCCAACATAAGAGAAAATATAATCTGAAAGACAAATAAGTTTAATACCTTTGTAATTTGTACTTAGAAACAAAGGCCTTGGTGCAGTCTTGTTGTGTGCACTTGTAGGGCCTCTCTCCTGTGTGAGAGTAGGAGTGAACCTTTAATTTCTCAACACTGTTAAAGGCCTTGTCACACAGTTGGCAAGTAAAGTTTTTTCTTGGTTTGGTTTCACCACGCTTACGTTTCCCTGAAGGGACTTTCTGGGTATCTCTTACTTCTGACAAATCACCAGGAATGACAGTGGCCATCGCAGCCTAAACCAGGCCTTCTTGTTGGACACTTGGGAACTGCCCAACTCCACTAAATGATATAGCTTTAGGTGGCTTCTCAAGTTTCATGTGGTCGTAAAAGAAAGCAAAAAGGGACTGGAAAAAAAAATAAGAAACAACTAGTTTGTAACTAAACTCAATTTTTAAAAATTTTATTTGCTATGTGATGCTTTTGAATTAAAAAAGAAACCAATAAAATGGATTCAGCTGGTCTAATGTAATATCTGTAGGTTTCTTTATATTTGTCAAAATACATACAAATGCATTGCTCAGAATGAACAGTTCATATATACCCTGAAATTCCACCTAACAAATGTACTTAAGCATAGTAGTAGTGATTTCAGGAACTCCCAGGAAGCATCAAAACATAACTCTAAAAGTGGCATTATTAAGCTTCAATTTTTACAAGGGATCAGAGAACATAAATCTGACTAAAAATAATGTTTCAGCAAATACCTCAATGTCAAAAGATCATTTTGATTTGTGCACATCAGCTCTAGTCAGACCCTGTATTGTAGGAAAATAGACACAAGCAACTGAAAACTCTTTGAGGCACCTTGTGAACCACTGAATCATGGAAGAGGCAATTCACGCACAGACACTAGAGGCCTGAAAGAGTTGAATGCACCACCCACGGTGAAACTTTACTCTTTATACCAGTGTCATCATACTCTGAAGGCTTTCTGAGTCAAGAGCAGAAATGATTTATCTTCCTAACAAATATGCATTCTTGAAATGGTAAAATCTTTTGATGCTATAGTAGGTGAAGAGTATCGGGAAAAAATATACCTAAAGTAATTTTCCTCAACATTTTTCATATCATAGGAAATGGATGATGTTCCTTAGGCACACTGAAGTTAGTAGATAAGCTGGAGTCATTAGGCTTCCCCAAGAGCTGAGGGGATCAGCCTTTTGACATACCTGTAACCTGTGTGCAGCAGACCTGTTGGGACTTCTGACTTAGTACACAATACCTGTGCAAGAATACATCATTAAAGAGGTGTTTCAGCTTAGTAAAAAGTCAGAGTTTCAATTTATTGGTGCTGTGAGAAAGAATGAAATGTACATATTGTACAGGAAAGACTATGCCTTTTTAAATAAAACATTTAAAACTGAATAGAAATCTTTGAAAATTTATAGACAAGACATAGTAAATATTATCAACTCTATTTCTCACAGTAAGAAAGGCAACTTCCCAAAGATCCAATTGACAAAAGAGTTAAGTGATTCCTCAAGGTTTGTGGATGCTAGTTAAGCTATAGATATTTAGCATTAAGAGAAATGATAATACTTGCTACTTTTTAAAAAAAAGATCTGCTTTTTAAACTGAAAACTTGAATGTGGCTAAATGACTATTATTAACTAATCAACTGAATTTTTCATCCTATTTACATATTTTAAAAAACCAACTTCTTTATATCACTTGTGTTTTAGCATTAGCCTGATACTGACACTTGTCTTCACAAGCTAGGTCTATTATACTGACTTTTACAGATTCCAGTTATACTTTTGCAGGAGCTCTAAATACCTACATTTTTGTAAAATTAAGAGCATGTTACAATATATCTTACTGTATTTTAGTGTAGAGGCTGTTCCTGAATAGGCAAAATACAGCAATTATCCACTCATTTGATTAAAGCAGTAAAGCATATGTGTAAGTTAATCAGTATCCTTTCATCTTTATTAGGTAGATACAGGCAAGGCCTTTGTGCTGATCAAACTGTCTAAAAGTCCCTCTTGCAGTTTAAAAGTGACATTAACAGAACATAACTGACATTACCAATACTAACATAATATGTTCCCTCTGGTTTTAGATTTTCTAGATCTCAAGGACTTGTTCTTTTCCTGTTACATTCTCATTCAAAAGATAGCTCCTCTGCCTCCCTGAGAAATATCTGAACAGCTATTCTGCTGTAACCAGTAATGACACTATAAATGGTAGAAAGCATTCTACCAAGGCAGGAAAAAAATTTAATATTCATTATTTGATTTCCTAACATACATTTTTATGCACCTATTTAGAATATTGTGGGAAACAAATTGATCATTTTCCCATTGCAAAATCAAAATGGGATGTAAAGTGCCTAAATCCCTGTATATAACTAATATCTGAAAATATTTCAAGGACTGGTCAATATTTGCCATTGTGTTACAAGATCCAGTTGTAATGGGCAGACACAATTCTAGCTGAGAAAAATAATTTCTAAGTTATTAAAAAATGTATTAAAAGTGCACCATGAAATAATAGATAAACATTTTATTACATTAAAATTGGTGATACTCAATATGAAGTAACAAATTAATTCTGTTATTTTTGGATGTACATACTGAGCAATGAAGAATTGCACTGATTTCAAATATTACACTTTTCTAAGACCAGCTGAAATTTTTTCATGGCTGATAATACCTTTTTATTTCAATATATTACAAAACTCAAGTTAATTATCATAGGTGCATAGGATAAGGTTGTGCATTCAACATCTAATAAAAGACCACATTCATAATATGCATATCAGTCAAATGCTTTAAAGGTGCATGCACAGAATTATAGTGATTTTTATTCAATGCATACCTGATTACAGATGGAAAAAGCCTCAGACTTTGATCTTAGCCAGTCCCATTGACTCTTCGTGGAAGAGAACGGATTCCAATCCTTCCCATTTTGGCCAATCTATGGAAAAAAAGTAAGAATGGACTATCCTCTAAATGGAACCAGTATGCAAATGACAGAAAATACAGGATAAAAGAATTGCAATTTCATGGCACATGCTTACATTCCGTACTCTGCTGACAAGTCATGCGTTAATCTTCACCAATTGCATATTTTTATTAGTTTTAAGCACATTTATATGACCAAATGCACGAATAAAAAGTAAAATAGTATTACCTAGATAAATGGCAATTTGTGATGCAGAATGACTCCCCACTTCTTTCCCAAATTGAAAATTAATTTAAAAAAAATCTAACTTACCTACTCAGAGAAATGAATATTAGGGCTACTTTTTACAAACCAAACTGATAAAAATTTCATTATGCTTAATAATATTATGGAAGCAACAAACAAACTCAGTCCCCTCTTGGGGAGCACATCTGGAACCTCACCAAAGCGCTCACACCCACGCTGGGCACACCTGTGCAACTGGGGCTTCTCAGAGCTACAGTTCGTTACCTGCAATACCTGCCCACTTATTTTTCAGAATGCTGCAAGGATTGCTGAAATGTAGCAACTATGCACTTTTTAGATTTCAAAAGCATGCAAGAGAAGTTAAATATAGGTTTGCTACATGAGAGGGGGTGTTAGGAAGAAAGTATCATTTGGTTTAAGAGATCACTGTTGAAAAATCTTAAAATAGCTTCAAAATGTCTACTAGTAGCACTGTTATCAGTAGACTGAGAACATGCGTGGAAAAAAACCTGTTAATAATTCTTGATCATACAAGTAAACGTGAAAATAACAATGGGAAAAAGGCAGAAAAATCTAGAATTAACCATTACTATAGAGAGTACAAGGCATAGAGAGATTAGTAAACTCTTAAGTATTTTAAAGATGAACATTTAGAAACCATGACTGTAAGAACTTGAGAGGAATAATATAAATCAGTTAAAATATGAAACAAAAGGATTCATCAAAGACAGGTCACATAAAATAATTTTAAAGTTCTAAACACAAATCTAATAATTTCTCCTGAAATAAAATTTTCACATACTTTAAAAATGTTATGGTATCTAAATAAAAATATTTAATAGAAGGCATTCAAGCATCATTATGAAA